TTCTGCCACGCGTCAGCACGCACCGAGCGACGCCTGCCCACAAAACAACCGGCGGAATGCAAAAACACACAGCCGTCCTTCGCAGAACCCGCGCGCTGCCACCAGTCATTTTACTATTGTCTCCACCAGCGCATTCGCACACCGCTCCGCACAGCCGGAGGATCCCCATCGGCCAATGTAAAGCAAAAGAGACACGACAGCACGCGCATCTGGGCGGGAATCTGTCAGCGGTTTCCCCAGGCGTCCTCAATGCCACACCACTCACTGCCTGCACGCCTCCAGTACCACACAACCAATACATCAACAAGACAGATCGCAAGCTCCCGTCCTCCCTCCTTGAAATGGCCATCGCAGCCAAAACCTTTTGCGTGTGTGCGTTCTCAGCGTTCTCACCTCTACACAGGGTGAACCACACGACGTATGTGCATCTGCGCGTGTGTTTTTCAGCGTCTATACGTGCAGAGCATCCGTACGGCAAAAAAGATTCCAAAGAAAGCAACGGCAAAAAAAAGCGGATAGCACACACGCACTCCCACGGCGTCGGAACAGACACACAAAGCTCACGGAATGGATGCACTCAACCACAACACAAGTAAAACAATAAGAAAAAAAAAAAAAAAACAGAAAAAAAAACAGAAAAAGAAAAAGCGTGGGACGACCAGCGCACACACTCTCATTGCTCCCGTAAAGCAAAACACACACACAGGGGGAGAGAGAGAGGTCGCCCACTCAGTGCAATAAAAACAAAACAGAAACAGTTACGGTGCTCCGCCCATGCAGCCAGGCAGAACGGCAGCGGTGCGTGTCGTGCAAAAGAGAGCACCAACGGGCCTGCATGGGTGTGCATGCAATATATACAATGGGCACATTATGTGTGAGCTTCGTGGGATGAGGTGAGGGCGAGAGTCCATGCAAGGGGACACACACAGAGAGTGAGTGAAAGACGAGTGTGTGTGCGGGCGGTGCACGGCTCTCTCTCCCTCACTCTCACGCGGCCACCACCGCAGAAGCAGCCGCACGCGCAACAACAAGAAGAAGCAAAAGAGGGGAGGTGGTGTGCAAGACCGCCGTGCTGCCGTCACTGTCGTCTGTTGCTGCCGTGCTGTTCAGGTTAGGCCTTTGGCTGCAACGGTTTTTTTTTCGGTTGTCTCTTCCTTTTCTTTGACTTCTGCTGTTGTTTCTTCTGCCTTATCCACTTCGTTTTCATTTTCTTGGCTTGTGTTCTCTGTCTTAATGTGGTCATCGTCATTTACGGCTGTTTGCCTTCCGTCAAAATTTTCATTTGTTGTTGCTTTTCCCAAATCTTCCTTTTTTTTTTTTGGTACCTCTTTTCTGTTGTGTGCCTCCCTTTCCGCGGCAGGTGTTTCTGGATTTGATTTTGCTCCAACGGTTCTCTGTTCTTTTCCTGCATCTTCTGTTTGCGTCTTTTTTCCCGGGGTTCCTGTTTCTGTTTCGGCTGCATTTTCTTCGGTACTTAATTCTGCTGTTAAATTCTCTGCCTGTGATGGTCCTGCTGCTTCTTGCGTTTGCGTTCTGCCGGCGTCTCGTTTTCCCCCAGTGTCGTCATCATTCTTTTTCTCAATACTTTGAGGATCCGTAACTTCAACAGGGGGAGCAGGCTGAAGAACTACAGGTGCGTCAGGGGATGTACCGTCGGTATCACCACCCCCATTCACTTCTTTTCCTTTTTTACTGCTTCCTGCATCTCCTTCCTTCTGTCCTTCACCCTCTTTGTGATCTGTGCCATCAGCTGAATCTTCAGTGTCTTCATCATCTTTCCCGGGATCTTCAGGATCGTCCTGTTTATTCTCTTCAGCCCTTTGCTTTTTTTTCTCTTCCAATTCTTTTTGCGCTTCTTTTTATTCTTTTTCTGGTTCCACGATTTCTTCCTGAACTTGCAGCGTGACTCCGTTCTTTTCTTCCCGACCTCCATTTGAATTGCCGATGGCTGCATTGTCAACTTGTTTGTTATCATCGGTACTGTTAGGACCCTTTTGTTTCTACAGTCGGCCTTTCCTCTTCGTCTTTTTCCTTTGATGTTCCTCCACTTTTGTCTTTCGTCGTCTCAAAAGACTCTGCGGGTTTCGGTAAATTCTCTCCTCCTGGTGTTGTATCTGCTTGTCCTGGCTCTGGAAGGACCGGTGATTTCACGTGTGACTCTGCCCGCGAACCAGCACCAGTCCCTGACTGATCCTCTGGGGAAGATCCGGAATTTCTGTCAGCCTCACCAGAATCAACATCACCATCAGCAGCAGCAGCCACGGCAAACTGTTGACGCCTCCAATGACCGCGGCCATCCACAACGGCACGCACACCGTCCATCCCCCGACGCACGCATTCCTCCACGGCAGAAATATTCGCACCGCCTCCTGTCCTCCTGCTGACCTCCTCCGCGCATTCCCTCCGCAGCTCAGCGCCCCGTCCCGCGATGAAATACTCAACCGCACTGCCATCGGCACCGCCAGCATCGTCGGCCGCAATTCCAAATACACCGCACCACAGCACGCAGAGGGCACACACCAGCAGCACACGGCCAGTCATCATCATCGCCATCACTCCTGTCACTTGCGTGTAGCCTCCAGCACAAACCAACTCCCCGCCAACGCAGAACGGAAGCAATGAGAGAAAGACAGCACCGCTGCATCACACAGTAAACAGCAACATTGACAAATGATGGCAGCTTGCACACACCATTAGGCATCCGGCCTGTTCCTCCTCAATCCTCCTTTCGTGCAGTCCGTGGGACGCACAGCAATGAGGCCGGCACCGCGTGTGGGCAACAAAAACAAGAGGGAGAAGCACGTTCCCCACGACAATGTGCAGCAACCGACCATTAAATAAAAAAGGAACAGCAAAGATACTTATTATTCCAGGAAAACAACGACAAAACAAACAAGGTAACATTGTAAATAATAAAAGAAAACACGCAGGGAACGCGGCACATGTTCTCCGTGAGGAGTCGCAATTCCACACTCCTCGGCTCACAAGACCGCCACAACTCCACACAATCCCAGAAGAAGCAGCAACACCCAATACACGCACACACGCACAGTGCCGTCAACAGTTAACTCTCGCAGTGTCAATTTCGCGTCGTAGAGCACGGCAAAGCAATCGTCGGGACACACACCGCTCCCGGAATACTGCGCGGTGAATTCTCGTAATTGGGGTTATCGTGTCCAGAGGCATTGCGTTGACTCAATCCGTCCGCATCACCCTCAGCAACAAATCCACTGCCTGCAACGCCATTTTCTGAAACGAGAGATTTTGTGTCCAGTGGCGTTGAGCTCACTCACCTCGTACGTGTTATCCGCAGCAACGTGTTCCCTGCCGCCATAAGTGACAGAAATAATCTCGGATGCATTCGACGCCACTAATATTCTCGGACCGTTGGCAAAGGAAGGCCTCTTCTTGGATGCATTCGGGACCATCATTTCGTTCGGATTGCTGGCAAACTCAGGCTTCGTCTCAGACGTGTTGCTCGCCGTGTTGGATGCGGGACTCGGATCGACGGTGTTGGGTCCGTCAGCCGCGGCGGACTGTCGCCAATCCTCGTTTTGACGTGACGGCTCAGCATTTAGTTGCGGCGCAGTTGCTACATGTGTGCACCGCATTGGCCACATGGCACACAGCACCCAGCTCACCATTCCTGCCATGCATGCGCAAATCAAAACCACTGAAAGTATAATTCTCATGCTGAGCCTCAGCACTGGCAGCAGAACACATCTTCCACGCCCACAAACACACACACACGTACGCGATAGCTCAGGCTGCCGTCACTCGGAGCACACGACACATCCACCGGCACAACCACCGCATCCGCATCACCAGATACATCTCCAGGAGTCCCAGATGCCGTCACGCACACGGAAAAGCAGCAGCACGAGAGCGCAAGGACCAACACACGCTACAAAAGAAGCATCCAAATCGAATGAAATGTGCATTTTGTGTGTGCATGTGGTTGTGTGTGCCTGCAGACACACGAAGCAAAGCAGTAAGAAAAAAAAAGAAGAAAAACAAATGTGGAGAGACGCACAAAATGTACAGCGGAGGTGCGTGGCGGAAACAACAGGAAGACGACCGCTCAAACTCATGACTGCACTGCAGCCCAAGCAGTGGCAATTCACAGAAGATTTATTAAAAACAAAAAAACTTTCTTCTTCGTCTTACACAAACCCCATCACACAAAATAATTATAAATAAAAAAGAAATCGTCCATTACCGTTCCACACAAATTTAAAAAAGCACCCAACTACCATGTTGCTCCAGAAATTGTCTGCATATATTTTGTCCGAAAATAAAATTAAAAAGATATTTAAATGTCTTTCAACCGTCTGACCCTCCGTGTGTCCGCACATCGTTTATATTTCATGGGGTCATCTGCGTGTTGCTGCTCCCCTCAGCCCTTTTATTGGTGCGTGAGTGCGGCCCGCAGAGCACAGTCACTCGTGTGTGGGGGCTGAGAGAAGCACGCAGACATGACGGGAGTCGCGTCTCTCCATCGGGAGAGTGAGCGCAGCAAAAGAAAAACACGGCGGCAGGGTGTGGCTGTGTGTGTGGCGCTGCGGGTGTCTGCCCGCCCTGCCCGCAAAGAAAAAAAACAAGAGGGAAAGAAATGTGTGCTCCGCCCCACAGGCCCTCGTCGCACGCCCACACGTCACGGCTCCCTCAGCGCGCCGTTCGTCGCGGCCCCTCCTCATGCGTGCAGCAGGCGAGGCGCACAGGGCCGTCGTCATGAGCGTGTCGGTGGGTGTGCGAGTGGAGCAGTTGGGCGGGAAACACACGGCACCCCTCACAGGAAGAGTGCAGCAGGAAACAATAAACAAAAGCAAAAAAAAAAAATCCATGGTGGCTGCCCCAAGGCAACAAGCAAGATAAGAAAACAATTTAAAAAAAGAAAAGAAATTGTTCTCTGCGTAGTAAAATTTATTCCTAGCGGTGTGTGTGTGTGTGTGTTGGTGAAGGGGAGGGCGCAAGTGTCCCACGCGGCAGCCAATCACTCCTCAAAGAGCCACAATGCCCCACAGCCCCAGCAGAAGAAGCAGCAACAACACCCGAGACACACACACATGCACGGTGCTGTCATGGTTTAGGCCCATGGACAGCAGCTCCGCAATTTCCCCGGTGAAGGTGTCGTTGTCCGAGTGTCGTGCCGCGCCTTTTGTTGAGGGGATCCCTTCGCCTCCAGGCGTGGTGTTTGTATTCTCCGGTGCGGTGTCGACCGTCTGTGGCACCTCCTTGACGTCTTCAAAAGAAAATTCGGCTCCTTCAGTCCAAGAGATGTTGTCGGTGTCCTCCGCGGATGTCGGTTCGGCGTCACTCTTTGAAGAAGTGAGGCTGCTGTCTGAGCCCATTGTTCTCTCGGAATCGCTGTCCCCTGCCTCGAGGCTGAGGCTTTCCTCCGCGCCGGTGGTTCCGGTTCCAGTGGATCGCACGTCGTCATTTTCAGTAGCAGGCTCAGTGCTTTGTTGCACTTGGTGCTCACTGCCAACTGTTTCGGTGGCCGTATCCATACTCAATGATGCACCCACTGAAGACGTTGATCCGCCACTCCTGTCATCCGCTTCTCCCTCCTCCACTGGCTGTTGTGTATCATTACTTTCAGCGGATCCTTCAACATCAGCGACCTCCGTTGATTTCGTGGACGGTAGTTCTCGTGGCTGCACATCTGAATCCCGTTGCATCGATTCCTTCGCTTCATGCGGCGTGGTTTGCTGAGACGTTTCGCCTTGGTGAAACTGGGCATTGTTCTCTGGAAGAGAATTCTCTGCGCTCTGCGCTGCAATGGCGGATTCGGAAACAGATGATCCCCCGGCAACCGTGGAAGGGGGCACTGCAGGCACCAAATCATGGACGATTCCTTCCTCTTGTTTATCAGTATCATCCTCAGTCAATTCCTCATGGCTGGCGGTGCTTTCTTTACTGTTTGACTCGGGAGCAACCGAGAGGCCTGTGCCGTTCACCGGTCCTGTGGGTTGTTTCTCAGCGCCAAGTGATGGAATAGTGACTTTGCTGGCATTGAGTTCATACAGTTCACTTCCAAACAGTTTCTCGTTGTACAGCATGACGTTGGTCACCGTCACGTGGCCGCCCGTTGCACTTTGGTCCTTACTGTCCCCACCGATGTAGAAGTGTGAAATCCTGTGCAAGTCAAACAGACTCGCATCGTATTTCTTGTGGTGGATTTCCCTTTTATCTACAATGACAGTCCAAAAATCAGAATCCATTCGCAGTACCACCTGATACGTCTTGTTTGGCTCCCAATAATCAACATCCTCCATATTACCGGAATTCTCAGGTATGGCCAACCACTTCTTGTCATGGGTGTACGACAGACCAAAGAGGACCGTGCTGTCGGTGTCATTCATCCTCACACCCATCAAAGGAATGGAGCTGCTGTCTCCCTTCGGCACCTCGTGGATGGACACCGTCGCCACAAGAGTGAACTCGTTGTTCGCAAAGTAGTACGGCACAGTCTGCCCCATATCGCCAACAGGCCACACCGCCCCTGCTCCAGACCCTTTGAACGTCAATCCATTGGGAACCCTTCTCTCCCCATTCGTCACTGTTGCGTTCACGCAGAGGTACTCGTCTCTCCACTCGGTCTGAGTTGAGTTACCAGACAAGAAGCCAACAAGCCTCTCAGTGGGAACACGACCATTGCACATACCCTTCTTTGGCAAGCCGACAGTGCCAATGGAAACGGAACTGCATGATTGCAAGGCGCTGTCCAAATCCGCCCATGTCTTCACCACTTTCTTTATCCGCTCCAGTTTCTCGGTCAGACGCACAGCAACAAGATTGTATGATCCGTCGCCCTTCTTTTTCTCGTGCAGTGAAACCAACTCCTTATTATCCCTCCCACTCTTCATCAACAGGGAGCTGGCGGCGGCGTCATCATTTTCACGAGATACCGGCCCAACATCATACACACGTGCATTGTCCGTCACCCAAAGATGAAGCCGACCTTTTCCACCTTCATTGTCCTTCGCATACACCGGCGCGGTGACGAGCATCACCTTCTTTCCCTCAATGATTGCGGTGGTGAATCCACTCTGGACGCCGTGCCCTGCTCGATTGTGTGAGTTGCCCCACACGCGGTTAATTGGCTCACCCAACGTATACCAATTGCCTCCATTCTCAGTGGACCTGTAAACGTCATAGTAGCCTCCAGCACAATGAGCCATCATGAAGAGTCTTTCGTCGTCTTCGTTTTCTTCCCACTTCACCAGGGTTGGATCCCTGCAGCCTTTACCAGGCGTCTCGGATGAAAGCCGCCATTTTTTGTCTGACGGGTTAAAACTCATAGACAGTAAAACGTGCTGTCCATACTTGTTTTTGGCCTGCATGGGAAACACAAGCGTGCCGTCACGCATCACAGCACCCGATCCTCCACCGCCAATTAACTCGGTCAAGGAATGAGAATATCCTATGGCTTGAGGGTTCATCACATGGGTCTCATTCCATCTGATTTTCTTCTTTCCATTTTCTTCAGCGACAGTTCCCCTCACGAGTAAAAGGCCCCGCTCATTCTTACCTTGAATCTTGGTAAGTTGAGTCCCAGCGGCTCTACGCCTGTAATTTCCCAGGAGCATGTAGACACTGTCCCCAAGTACAAGTGTCGTTGGTCGCGTTATGCCGTTTCTGGCGCTGATACCCTCAGACTCTTCCTTTAGAAGATCTGTGCCAAAGATACTCGCACCTGCATTCGCCGCCGAGATCTCCGTTGAACCAACACCACTTAAATCAAGGTGCTTTGACGCAATCCCAGTAAGGCTGACGTCGCTGCACTTGCCTCCATCCGTGCAATGGGCCTCAGCAATAGCAAATACATGACCCTGCACCTCAACGAGACTGGGACTAAAAAGCGAGCCATATTTACCACCAGCGTTGTCAATTTCCTCCCACTTGTCGAGCTCTTCCCATTTAATCCCCCTCAACGCATCAACTGCTTTCTTTACATTACTCTCCCCAGCGTGTGCACCTCCAACGTCACAGCACATCAACACGAAGACGAGGAGGAGCAGCACCGCGGAAGTAAACACACGCCGGGACATGTTGGGCATTTGCTGCTCACTCACTCTTCCTTCCCTCCTCCTTCCGCTGGATCCGGTCACGCGGCGACGGTTGTGTTTATTGGGTGCCTTGACAGCAGCAACACGTGAGAGCATACAAATATGTGTGTGTGTGGGCGGTGTGTGTGCTGTTGTTGGTCCTTTTAGTGTCTTACAATTTCACAGTAGCGTTTAGTGTTTGTTTGCTTCTTTCCTAGTGTTTTTTTGCTCAACAACTGGAGAGAACAGAAACAGCGGCAATACACCAGAAACATCAGCGGGGGTTAAAGCAGAGCACCCACGCAAAGTGCGGGACACAAGACAATCCGGAAGGGTCAGCACGGAGAGCCATCGCCCACAGAAAAGAGCAGCAACACGGCAGGTCACGGCGGGCCGTCGGTGTGTGAGGGCCAGCACTCCCACGGTGCAACACGCCACACCCAACAGGGAAAGACAGACAGGCGGAGGGAGATGAATGGATACCGTCAGGAGGCACTCACAATCAACATGGCCTGTGAGCATGCGGCCACTCCACGCAGAAACACAGGAGAAAAGGATGACAGGAGAAAAAAGCAAGAAGCAGCACAAAACACACGGAAGGAACAAACGACAGGCGGGAAATGCATCGCCAAGGGCCCTCATACTGGCCGGCAACTTCACACCAGCCCTCACACACACACACACACACACGCAATCGCAGTGCTGTCAGTCCGCAGGTAAGAAGATTCGGCCCTCCATACAACAAACGCACACACCGCCAGCAATCACCCACCAATGGACAAGGACGAGAAGAGACACACCGCCACCGTCTCCAGTTCAATCCCACGGCCAACGGGATACGGCCACAGCCCGCTGCCGGCACACAACGCACACGGAGCGAGCAATCGCCCAAAGAGCCACACGCGGAAGCGGGCCCTCATCCACCCATGACGCGGTGTCTCACTCCATGCAGCCACACGGAGTGCACCATTTCCCCAATAGAACTTATTCGCCCTCCATCCCTTTAAGACGCCTCTGTTAGTGATGGGCCTTAGAACACAACAGAAGAAAATGGAAAATGCAGTGGTACTGCGACACCGCCAGCCACAATGATTCCCTCATACCGAGGCAATTCTCCGATTATGCCTCGTGTGCACACACACAACTAACATACTATATAGAAATCACCCAATGTTTCTCACCAGAAACCAAACAACCCCACTCCCTCCCTAATTTTATTCTGTCACTGTTATGTTCGATAGCGTTGGTCATTTTTGACATCTTTTTGTAACACTGTCACCTGGTGCTGGTGCACCTGCACCGTATGCACACAAAATCATCAAAAAATATATAACTCCCACAATATTTTTTTACCAGAAAACAAAATTGCCCCTTTCCCCAATTATTTTTTCCTACTTCGACGGTTCTTACACACTTCGGAGTGCTTCGTCTCTTCTAAATTCTCTGGATGATACTGCTGCTATGTACTGGCGCACCTCTTCCTCCCAGAACGCCGCAATCTCTCGGTTTTCAGCGGGGCTCACACTATTGGAATTGACGACATCACATCTCTGCCAGTCATTCATCGGCGTGCTGTCTGCCTGCTGCACATAAATAATCTCCCACAACATGTCTTGGGATAATTCCTCCCAACCATTAAAATGTGCCGCCAGGCACTCAGTGAACTGCCTCACAGTGCTGACGGTGGTGTGTTGCCCACCCGCCGTAGCCATCCGCAGCCCAATCAGCGTCATTGGATTTGACTCCACAAAGAAAAAAAGCCGTCCACCAGCGGAAAGCTTGCACCCGCCGGTATGCGCAGCAGCCGATGCTTTATATTAGTATTTGTATGGTATTCCATTGCAACCACTCCACATATAACTCGGTGCGGTGCCCTTCAGGGTTCGCCTTCAGCACCGAGTACTGTCCTCCACGACGTGCTGGTGGCCCCAGCTCCTTAACGTCCTCTAATAATGCACTGAAAAACTCCCCCAAACATAAACGCGCGCAAGCCAAAAATTCCCATACATTCAGACGAAAGAGTACTCCTCACCCCCAATACTAGCAACAGAAAAGAAAAATAACTTTCTCACTCATCACGTTTCCCAAAATGGTGCGGTATTCGACGCCCGAGGCAAACAGATATCGGTGCGTTGAGAAATACCTCAGCACCGACTTCTCCTCTTCCTCGGACAACCCTCACGAGCTTTTGAGACGGATTCTCAGAATACCACAGTCTCACTCCCCGATGTGTAAAGTGCTTTTCACCATCCCGGGACTTGATCCCATCCAAGGCATCCTCAATGGCAGCAGAGTGTGCAATGAACTCATTCGCATCAAAGATGTGACGTGGAATCGGTCCCAAAAGATACATGCGTTCTTTGACCTCTTTCCAGCATTCCGCCTGTTTCTCTGCAGTCTCGTCACGCTTCATCCATGCACACATCGCCTTCACATCCATCTCGTCGGGGCAATTCATGATGATTCGCTCGGCTCTTACTTGCGTCTCCCAGTTATCATAGTTGCGCACGTTTGGCGATGCCACCACAATCATGCCCCATTGAGAAGTAGGCGCAAAACAACACGCTGGCTTTCCTTTCTCTGTCACATCGTAAATAACATACCCATTCATCCCACGCTGCCACAATTCACACAAAAATTCCTGGGATGCTTCACCACCCACGTATCTTGTCACCGCCTTGATAGTCTTGTCAAACACGTACATCGTGCTTCCACCAAAACTGTACGCAACCACTTGGAGTTTCTTGGCATCGCAGTGCAGCAGCTGGTAGAGGAGGTACGAGCCGGCATTCATCGACTTCCCGATCCCGGGCGTCCCAATCAACAGACGCTGCTTAGGCTCAAAGTCGGCCTCACCGTGAATGCTGAACCATTCGGTGAGATCGCCCTTGGCGATCTGCCACACTCGCTCCACCTCACAGTTCACATGGCAGTCACGAGTGGATTTATTCTCCTTCCATTTCCATGTGTACGGCCATCCCTTGTCCGAGGTGAGCACCATCAGACTGGGAGGTGCTTCACCGGATTGCTGCACACCGTCATTCTTTTCGAGGGATTCGCCAACTGCCCTGTACGTCCATGGCTGCGGTGGTTCCCCCTCCCTCACTTCCATTACCGTCCCCTCGCCGCCAGGGACTTCCATGACATGATGCCACCTCGCATTGTACACAGACTCGTAGCATCCCTCCAGGTACCTCGGTGCGCTCGACTTCTTTGGGTTCCTCGCCTCCTCGGCGGCTGCATCCAAAAACCTTTTAGTGACTCCATGAACACTTGCCTTTACCTCCGCAGAAGCCACCAACCAATTCAGTAGAGTGTCCACACCATTTTTGTGAAGCTTGCGTACATCCTTTTCCATATCCATTCCATCCTGTACAGTCCTCTTCATCCTCTTGTAACGATCAGATGCCTGCATTTCGTTCAATACTCCCGCATCGCAAATATACTTCTTGGGGTTCTTGAAAAACTCCTTCAGTAAGACATCCCGATTGGCGTCCAAAGCGCCCCTGCCGTCCAATTCCATCGTAAGAAAGTCATTCAGCTTCATTTCATCCACGTGAACCCTTCCTTTAAACACCGCATAATTAATCCCAGTGGAAACGTCAATTCCCAGTTCTTGTAGTTCTCGCCTTTCCCTTTCTTTTGCCTCCCGCCTCTCTCCTCTCAGTACATGAGAGTAGGCTGTGTTTATCCGTGCCCTTGCAAGAGGAGTGACCGTATCCTTTCTTTCAAAGTCCCTCCAATGCCTGAGAGTGATAATACCTTCGTGTAAAAGCTTATGTGAAGCCCTCGATAGCACGTAAAACTCCTCACGCTCTTTTTCTCAGCTCTTGATATGGCGGCGATGCCTCTATTGTCCTCAATAACACTTCGTCTTGGATGAACTCATCGGGGCTAATTAAAAACTCCTTCATGTAGACGTTCTCATTGAATTCCTCAACGCCCCTGCCGTCAAAATAATTCCGAAGAAAATCACCCAGCCACATGTTGGTAATGCGTTCCTTTCCCTCCAGCAGCACTTTATCCAGCCAACTGTCAAGAGTCCACTTTGGTTGCCTCGTTTCCTCCACCCCTCTGCGAGCTGCAGCGTCAGAACCATCGCCGGGGATGCCGCTTCGAGGCGCCATCACAACACCCGTGCAGTGAAGCATCCCACTCGCACCGCCCAACTGCGGCCAGCAGGTGCCGCCGGCTCCAAAGGACACTCGCAGCTGTTTAGTCCCGCAGTCCCAATGGCGTTGGGCGTGGCACTCGCACCGCGGGGCTGTCGGTGCGCCATGCAGTCGCACTGCAACGTCTGTCGGCAAAACAGTCAAGGCCCACCGCCTCCGCAGCAACACAACGTGCAATCGGCCGAAACAACACCGCCACATTATATTCTTTTTCTATTTTATTTTATTTTATTCACGTTGTCTGTCTGTTTTCCCTATCACTAACACTAGTAATGAGTGTGCACCTTTGCAGAGGGAAGTAAAAAGAATAAAAGGAAAACACAATCCCACCGTCCCAATGCAACTCAGCACTCCCCTCCACCCGCCACCATTGCCGCACAGGAGACCGCAGTCACATCGCAGAGGAAGCACCACAATGTGCACCACACCATCGTGCACCGAACAATGGGCGAGACGCAGCCATGCATCGCCCCGCTCCATTTTACCACCCATCATTTTTTGCGTGCCCGCAAAAAGTAGCAAACAGAATCAGAGTGCACACAAACACAATCAACACCCTCACTCGCTGAAGCACATTATTCGCATGGAGTGACAACATTTGGGGACAAACCAGCAGTAGCAGGCTGCATGGAATCTCCCTGCCAACCCCGCAAAGAGACACAACAACTCTGCGGAGTAAAAGTGGCAGCCCCTCGGTGTTGCCCGCAGTTCACATGGCAGGAAGAATTCCACGCACGCATATTTCCGGACACCTCGCTGTCTGAGTGCCCAACAGAACATGTAAAGAAAATACCTGCGCGCAAGATGGAATTAAATACGTGAAAAGGTCGGCCTGCTTTCTCCGATGGCGTTGGCGAGCAGTCCCACACAATCCAATCAAAGTGGCACGCCGGACAGAATGGCGTCCGTCAATCAATAAACAAATAATTGCGTCAATGCAAAAAG